TTGGACTTAGAGTAGGAAGGGATTTCAAAATGTTCAAAAAATTGCTAACTTAGAACACATTAAAATGAAGAACATATGTACATGAAAAGGCATCATAAAGAAAGTGAAAACAAGTAAACTGGGAGAAGCTATTTGCACACAATAAACAGACAAAGGTTAATAGAGACTTTTCTAAAGAATTCCTACAAATCAATAAGAGAAAGACAAGCCAGTAGAAAAATGGTCCACATATTTGAACAGGCACTTCACAGAAAAGGCCTGGGGAAATAGGCTCAATCTTCTTACCAATCTGAGAAATGGGAATTGAAAGCACAATATCCTGTGGATTGATGAAAATTAAAGATCTGAAAAGTCTAGGGAAGGCTGTAGACCAATGGAGTCACATCCACGGCTGCTTTGGAAAGCAGTGGCATTACCTGGTAAAGCAGAAGCTGGACATAGGTTTGAACCAACCATTCCCAAGTTAGGAATATATCCTAAGAAATGTTTTTACATGTGTACAGGGCGACACCAACAAGAAGTATTATAGCAGCATAGTTGGTATAAAAAGAACTGGAGATAATGCAATGTCTGCTAGCAGTAGATTGGATGAATAAATGGTAGTACAGTCATGAGTCACTTACCAATGAGAATAGTTCTGAGAAATGCATCGTTAGGCAATTTCTTTGTTGTATGAATATCATAAAGTGTACTTACACAAACCTAGATGGTAAAGCCTACTACACACCCAGGCTATAAGGTACTTATCTTATGGGACCACCATTGCCTATGTGGTCTGTCATGGACCAGAATATTGTCATGCAGCACGACTGTATATTTATATGACGCCATACTACACATCAGAGAAAACGAGCTATAGTTACATCAGCACTGATAAATCTTAGGAACGCAATGTTTGGTGAAAAAAGCAAGTTGCAGAACAATTCATATGGTATGATTCCATTTACATAAAGTCTTCAGACATTCAGAAGTAAATAATATATTGTTTTAGGATTCAAATGGGACAAATTGGTGAAGAAAAAAGCAAGAGAATGATAATCACAAAATTCAGGATGGTGGTTTTCTCTGAGTGGGGGCTGGGATAGGCAGGAGGATGCTGTTAGGGAAGCCTCCTCAAGGGCTTCAAGAATTCTGATTGTTTTATTTCTTAAGCTCAATTAAGGTCACTCAGATGTTTATGATATCATCATTCTTTGGATGTTAACATGTGATTAATATTCCTTTGTATGAGTTCGATATTTAATAAAAGCAATCCAAAGAATATTTGCTCCACATTCAGCTGTAATGTCCTTGGCCAATAACCTCTCTCTTCTTTAAATCCTAAATTAGTGATTGTGCCTATTGTCTTATTTTGGCACCTGCAATTTAAAGATTAGAGTAAGCTCACCTACCAAAGAAGGTTTTCAGAGAAGAAAACATTTTCCTTCATATTGTGTGTGTGTGTGTGAAATGGAGGATAAGGATGGAAATCAGTGTTTTGCATATAGCGGATGAGACCAGAAAAAGGGCTGGTTTGAATTAAAAGAATGAAAAAAATGTAAAATTGACTTCAATTTCCCTTGAACTACAAAACATTTGTTTTCAGAATTTTTGGTGGACTTTTCCTTCCACTCAGTTGCTTGGCCTCTCCTCAAGCTATTTCCCAATGTTTCACCTCTTGAGGAATCCCAGGGAAGCCAATATCCTGACAAGACTTGGGAAGAGGCAGTGTGGAGTGGAGCTGAGGACTTTTGGCTCCCGGCCTCAGGGACTGCTGCAGGAGGACAGCTGGAGAAGCCGAACACACAGAGGGCAGGTCAGCAGAATGAGAGGAAACTGAGGGCGGAACAATTACCAGCAGTTCTGGGCAGTCCTGCCAGACAACCTAGTTAATTTATTTCCAAATAATTAACTTGAGGACCTTAATTATCTAGATTCAATATTAGCCACCATCACCTTCATTATCACCACGAGTACCACCAAGAGCATCTTCAGCAGAGCAATAGATGCTCTTCAAACCCAGTTTTAACATCTGTCTTCTCCTATGAGAGTCTGTGAGTTAGGCAGTGAAGATGAAGATGTGGTCAAGGAAGAGGTACAGACGAATGAACCAACATCAAACTAAAGATACTGGCGGAGTGGCAGATTCTCTTGCTGTATTTGTTGGCTTTTTTTCCATTTGTCTTTGTCTTTGTAGTACAAAGCCGTGTAGATTGATTTCATAAGCCTTGGCATCCCCATCGCATAAATAAAGTTTGCTGAAAACTATATTTACTTATAGTCAATGTTTTAATTATTTTAAATCTCATAGTTACTGGAATCCTACTTTGAAAATAAAAAAAGCAAAGTAGTAATTTAAGAGTTTCATGGAATCTTATTGGTGCAGAATATGAAGCTAATTATTTGCTCCCTTTAACTCCACAAATATTGCCAAAATATCGTATTCACATGTTTATTATGTCCTTTGACATGCAATTTTCAGCTCTATCTTAACTCAATTTTGCTCTTGTGGGCTTGGCTGTTCACTGCTGTGCAAATATCTCATGTTTGACAAGAGCCTATGTAAGCCATGGGGTGCAGGGGAGAGAGTATGACCTTGGGTTCAAATCCTGATTCCATCGCTGGCTAGTTGTTGGACTCTTGGAAGTTTTTAAAAATCTCTGAGCCTCAGCTTCCCCATCTGTAAAATGGGCATAATAATCCCTATCTTTTAAATGAAAAGAGAACGTTTAACGTAAAACATGTAGTTCACAGTAATTACTTCTTAAATGTTAATCCCTTTATCTGCAAAAAATATATACATATCAAAATGTATTTAATTAAGTTATTTGATGAGAATAAATAGGATGTGAAGCAAATACATCACCTTCACCTGCTCTGATGAAGGCTTCAAAATCTTAGGAGGGCTGACCATTGACAGTCACAGTATTGCTACAGGGCAGCAAAATCTCAGCTGTTCTGCACTATCACTGGCAGTGGACCAGTGGACCTTTTTTTTTTTTTGAGCAAATGAGAAGACTACATACAAACTGTGAAATTTTGAAGCAACACATGAAATTTTAGTCTTACAGTAACCATCTTGCTGAAAGATGGTTTAGCTTAGTTGACTTGGAAGCAGATAAAAAATAACTTGAGGGGTCTGGCCTGGTGGTGTAGTGGTTAAGTTCAGGCACTTCACCTTGGTGGCCCAGGGTTCACAGATGCGGACCCCAGGCATGGACCTAGCACCACTTGTCATCCCACATAAAATAGAGAAAGACTGGCACACATGTTAGCTCAGCGACAATCTTCCTCAAGCAAAAAGAGGAAGATTGGCAACAGATGTTAGCTCAGGGCTAATCTTCCTCACACACATACACAAAAACAAAAAAACCACAACTTGGTTATGCATCAAGAAAAAGCATGTGAGGCGTCTGGCCCTGTGGCCTAGTGGTTAAGTTCAGCATACCCCACTTCAGTGGTCCAGTTTCAGTGTCCTGGCACAGACCTACACCACTCATCAGCGGCCATGCTGTGGTGGTGACCCACACATAAAATAGAGGAAGACTGGCAGCAGATGTTAGCTTAGGGCAAATTTTCCTCAGCAAGAAAGAAAGAACAGAAAATGCCTGTGAAAACCTAGAGATGAGCACAGATAGTACATTTTCAGTTCATCTGCTTGTGTCATGATGAACACTGGGACTTTGTTCAAACACTGGTTGCCTTACAGGCTGTAATTTTATGTAAACATCATATCATTATTTTTTCCATAATTAAGATAAAATAACATATACAAAACATTTGGAAAATAGAGAAGTAAAAACATACTTTCCTTCCTGGCTTTTCCCAATGCATACGTTTTTGTGCCTGCAATCATAGTTTGTATGCAATTTTTCAACTTGATTTTTCAGCTAATATTATGCCAAAGCATTTTTAAGTGCTAAGTGATATATTACGTCCCGTGATCTATTTAACAGAGATCTATTGTGAATACTAAAGCTACTTCCAAATTTCTGCTCTAATATATAATTATTGTGAAGAACAATTTTGCTTTCAGAAATTTTTCAAAGGACTTTATCTGTAGGGAAATACAGATTTTAAAAAGAAAAATAAAACTACCAGCTCCCAAAACTACATTCAAGTAAACCTCCCTCAGATTCCTCTTCTTGTGCCCAGCACAATTTATCAGTCCTGATTTCTATCAGATTCTGCAGGCAGGTGAGCCTTGCTTAAGCTGCACTGTGCTAGTACAGGCAGTTGTGTTTAAAATTTAGCTTCACCAAACACAAGTCATAGTACAAGGTCAATGAGAAAGAGAGAGACGCAGAAGAAGGAAACAAATGGAGAGAAACCAAATGTTTAAAATTGGCCAGAGAATTTTATGAATGCATTTACTCCCTAAACCCAGTGGGACAGTTGGATTGAGCTGCATATTTATAATTTTGTCTTTTAGTAACACTGCCTTTGACCTTTTATTTTTCTTCTTATTTCCCCATTTCTTTCCTACCCCAGGCTGTTCTTCCAACGACTTTGAGGGCTCCATGGATCTGTCCATCCTCTTCTCACCCTCTCATAGTTTCTACTTTCCTTTCCTGCCATATGTCCAGTGCCTAGAAATGCAATTTTCATCACTTCAGTTCAGTATTTACTGAGCATTTACTATGTGCCAAGTACAGCGATAGGTGCTGCAAATTTGATGGGGAGTAAAACACAAAGCATGTGCTGGTCCAGAGGCTGGAGGGAGGTTCTGACTGAGTGGCTATCTGAAGTTAGCTAAGTGATGACTGGGCGTGTGTGTGCCTGTGTGAAGGACTTTTCTGACAGAACAGCCTTTGGAAAGTTATGTGGTGGGAGTGAGTGTGAAGAGTGCAAGGGGGAGGAAGGACAAAGTGTCAGAAACCCTACTCCCTCAATGCCTAGCCCATCCCATATTAACAGTTGCACGACATAAAGCTCAGTTGCCTAATGCTTTCCCCGCGGCATCCTCTCCAGGTAGCTAGGTTAAATGGTTCTAAAAAGTCCCCAGAGTCCCAGTGATTTACCTTTTCTCATCGTGTCTGTAAGATGAAGAGGTCCGGCCACTGGTCCATATAAACATCTTAGAGGATGGTGGTCCAGGGGCTCCTTTCTTTATGGTGGAATTTCTAGAGGGATGGCGAAAAGACCTAGAAGAGGTACACACGGAAATTAAATCCATTACTTTGAGTTTGGGAACTCTATATCAGCAGCAACCAATAGCTCTCAGTGGATTGACTCTCAAATAAGACCAGGTTTCTGTTGCTATAGGGCAGCAGTTCTCAACGCTGGCTGCACAATAAAATCAACTGGGAATCTTTTGAAAAACATGCAAGCATGGTCCCTCCCTCAGAAATGTGCACTCAATTTTTTAAAAGCCTCTTAGTTGTTTCTAATGCACAGCTAGGGTTGACAGCCACTGCCTTAGGGAAACATGGCTTTCTAATTGATGTTCATTTCATATTCCCTGTGAAATCTCTTCTCCAAAAATATAATTTTGGTATGGTTTCACACTCTGTAGTACACTATATTTTCCCAAAATTTTGGTTCAGATTTGGCTACCAAAATTCTATTTCTCCTTTCTTTTTCCTTAATGCTGACAGATGTGACATGTTGGTGGCAAAACTTCATTTTTTAAATACACTCTACTGTTGCCGAAGCTGTGAGTTTGTCCCATGGCAGCTGAGTCTCCGTCTGAGAAAATCACAGCTGCGGTGGTGGCAGCTACTCTCTGGCTCCTAGAGGCCAGGTTTCTAGGAACCAGAGTAGTTAGCTATTATTATTTATTTTCTACATAATAATCATTTTCTAGGGAGTTAGAAACATGAATTATCGTAGAACTCTTAATCACATATAAAAGTTAAAATGGTATTTAACAAATAGAACAGGGGCCGGCCCGTGGCCAAGTGGTTAAGTTCATGTGCTCCACTTCTGTGGATCAGGCTTTCGCCAGTTCAGATCCTGGGCAGGGACATGGGACCGCTCATCAGGCCACGCTGAGGTGGCATCCCACATGACACAGTCAGAGGCACACACAACTAGAGTATACAACCATGTACTGGGAGGCTTTGGGGAGAAGAAGAAGAAGAAGAAAAAAGAAGATTGGCAACAGATGTTAGCTCAGGTGCCAATCTAAAAAAAAAAACCACAAAACAAATAGAATAAAAGAAAGAAGGAAGGTGAGTCCTTCAGGGATGCACGGTCACTCACGGCTTTCCTTTCGGTCGAGCACAATATTCATGGTAAGCATGAAACTGGACGTGATATTAGCTAGTCTATACTCTATGAGCTACTAGACGCCAGGCACTTGGCATATATTATCTCTGCGTCTATCATGAGATAATAAGCATAACTATGTTATTGCTTATATTATGAAAACTCTGCAAGGTGCATAGTGCTATTATTTCCAGATGACAAATGATGCCTCCAGGAGACTCACGTATTTGTTTATATTTAGAAAACCTATGTCTGCTGGCCTCCAATTCTCATACTGTTTGGAGAAAGACACATGATGGTGGAGCCCAGCGATTCTCAAACCGTAAAGTGCAGACAAAGTACTTGGGGATCTTGGAACAATGCAGATTCTGATTCAGCGGGTCTGGGGTGGGGCCTAAGGTTCTGCGTTTCTAACAAGCTCTCAGGTGACGCTGATATTGAAGGTCTGTCTGCAGGAAGCACTGAGCAGCAAGGGCTCAGAGCATGTGCTCAGGGTCAGTGGTTGGTTATAGGCCCAGTTTCGTCACTAACTAGGTGTGTGGCCTTGAGAAAGTCACTTAACTTTTCTGGGGCTTCGTTGTTTTTATTCTGTAACACGGAACGTTTGAAACAGATAACCTCTAAGATCCCTCTCAGCTCCAAAGTTTTGTGATTCAGTTAATTGAAGAATGAATCTAAGCATATTTGAAGTCATTGTGCCCTGGCTTTCTGGAAGCAAGTCTGGGAACAGATCTCCTTCTGTAACCCTTGGGTCAGTGTCAGAGAGAGAAGGAACAGAGGCCATGGAGGTAGCAGGTGTTTGGGAACCAGTACAGATGCAAGAAGTCATTCTTCCAGCCGTGGTCTCCACGATAAATAGTGAGAATGAAAGGATACCCTTGAATGGATGCCCTAGACAATTTTAGAAAGATTTAGAAGTTGAATCTGCCAGCTTTTTAAATGACTTGTGTCTAGGAGTTTTCAAGTTATTTATCTTCCTTTTTGGACATTTTTAAAACATATCAAATAGAATGGAGATTAAATCCATTATTAAAACCAGTCAGCCTTCAGGAAGTAAGCATGATTTTAATCTAAGTTGAATGAACTACTTCATAAGAATGAGGATTGGCTTAAACTTTCAGGATGTTATTTCAACATTGAGTCTGGTGGAATCTTCTGATCCCTTTAGCCTCTCCTAAAGCGTTGGGAATGTGGAACAGACAAAGAAAAGTGGCACATTCTGAGTTAAGGTAAAGCAGTAAATTACTGAGCTCCTGTCCTGTTGCTGGTTACTAGCCAGCATTTAGTAGACATTCCATGTACATATACAAACACATAAAAATGCTTTGAAATCATTCAAAGTGACATGAGCTGCAGTGATTTCAATATACTTAGGATACTTTTCAGACTGTGTGTCATTATTCCAGCTTTTCACCCTTGCTCTGTTGTTTTAAGGGGATACAGAAAGGGAGAGATGAAAGATATATTTATTCTAATTAACTGTCTGAAGCTTGTTGGAAAGGACTTAATGACTCCTCAGGTTACTCTAGTAAGTGGATTTGGACTTTCTCCACTCCAGTTTTCTTTCATAAAGACGAACTGTTATTTAAACCTGCTAAGTTTGGTGTTAATTAAAATGAAAAGGAGTAGCTGCTTTAAGGACAACAGCATAAAGGTTCTGTGGAAGTTGAAAACAATTCCAGGCTTCAAAGAAACAGCAGAATATGTAAATGGAGGCTGGTTTGGAGACTGGCTTAGCTCGAAGGCAGCCCTCCTGAACTCCTTAAGAAATTGCCTCGACTCTGCTCACTTTATAAGACAGGGAACAACTCATTTGAATTGTGTTTAGGAAAGTGATATAGAGACAAAAAGCACTTTATAAAACTTTGTAATGTGGAATCCTAGCATGAAACAGAGATCTGTGGTAGTGGCTGCACAGGCCTGTGGGCAGGGGGAGGGAACCTGGATCTAATTCCATCGTGAAATGACCCAGGAATTGGGATGAACCTGGCAAAGCCCTGACTATATGACTGCAGATGAGTATGGTCTGAAACCAGAATCCCTAAGAGACATAATCTCAGTCTTGTATGAAAGCACGGAGTCTGTGAGAATGTAACAAGTTCTTTGTCTCAGGAATTTATAAAGGGTCCCTTTCGATTTCTTGAGCACACATCTCATGGGTTTCTACCTCTGTGACTCAGTTCATGCTTTCTCTCTGCCTCCCATCCCTGCCTGGTGAATGAATTCCTCTGTTTCCAAGGCCATCTCAGATGTCACCTCTTCTCTGACCCACACGAGCTGCTTCCTCAGCTCTGCTCCCAATTCTTGGTACTCACTGCTGTTAGAGCAGGACGTAATTTATCCTGGATGCCCTGCTAGGCTGTGGGCATTCCAGCACAGGGCTGTGTCTTATGCATGTTTTTGGCACAATGCAGGACACACAGTGACACACTGGTTGTGTTTGATGTGTGTTTTTGACCATCTAAGTATCTCCTGGAAAACATGACCATTGGTACTGACTTTGGTCTCCTGTGTGTGGCTCCCTACTGTGGGTGGAGCCAACGTCTCTTTCTGATCCTTCCCTTTGCTGGGGATGTTGTTCCTTCTTCCCGCTCCACCTCCTCTCTTTCCTTCTGATTGTCCTGCTCCCTCTGCCTCTTTCATTGACTTGGATGGAAAGTTTCTATTACTTGCTGAGTTATCAGTCAGGTTTCCTTTAGAAAGGGCAGCAATGGCCTAATGAAAAGATGAGCAGGGGCCAGCCCAGTGGTGCAGCAGTTAAGTTCGCATGTTCTGCTTTTTGGCTGCCGGGGTTCACCGGTTCAGATCCCGGGTGCGGACATGGCACCGCTTGGCAAGCCATGCTGTGGTAGGCGTCCCACATATAAAGTAGAGGAGGATGGGCACGGATGTTAGCTCAGTGCCAGTCTTCCTCAACGAAAAGAGGAGGATTGGCAGCAGTTAGCTCAGGGCCAATCTTCCTCAAAAAAAAAACAAAGAAAAAAAGATGAGCAGGACAGCCAGCTGGGACCTCTTTGTTTGTCTGCCTCCTGGCAACACTGCTTACCAACCGTGGGACTTTGGATGAATCAGTTTAACCTCGCTGCATCTCTTAGTTTTCTCAGCTGTAAAACTGGGAATAACACTTGCCTGTCTGCGTTACTTGGAAGGTTAATGAGGTAATAGATGCAAAAATACCTAAAGCAGGTCAAGGCACATAGTAGGCACATTCTAAACATTAGTGTGCTTCTTTAACCCCCTGTTATTAATTTTAAAAGCAAATGGATTGGATTTTATTTTTTTGTAAAAAAAATTCAATCAAGTGGCTTTGTACTTATACATTGAAATTATCGATTTTTTTTTCCTGTGGGTCAGTGGCACTCAATAGAAGAAAAACAGTTTCCTGTGACACTGAGATAATAAAATCTGAAATACTTCTTCCTTCACGTTAAGTGCTGATACCCATCCTGAGCAAGAGAAGCATAAAGACGGTGCCCCTGAACCCTGGCCACACATTACAATCATCTGGGGGACCTTCTAAAATACGGGTGCCTGGGTCTCAAGCCAGACCAGTGAGAATCTCTCAGGGTGGGTCCCTGGCATTGGTATTTTTTTAAAAAGCTGCTGAGGTGACTGATGTGCAGCCGAGGTGAGAAACGCTGCTGCAGACTCTCAGGGTCTGATTTCATTTAAGTTGAATTCTTTGTGGAGACTCCTCCTGCCTCTAGAAGCTTCCACTGGAGGGTAACAGTTTTATGAATGCTACTCTGTGCAGTGGCTTACTTCCTGCCAGTGCTGAGGCCTCGAGGTGACGGCTGCAAGGACGAGCAGGATACCAGGCGCAGAAAGAGCAGAGCGGATGCGGATTTCCAGTGTCAGTGGCCTTGAGCTATGCATATGGGGGACCCTTAATGCACTCTTCTTTATTCAGCAGCAAGCAGGAGGCAGTGGAACT